CGTTTTAATTTAACGCGGATGTTTTTGCGGGACCGTGGTCGCTGGACATGATTGGGCAACTTCGCTTTCACCCCCGAACCTCTTCCGCTCCGTTTTTACGTCCGGCTGACAGATACCCCACCCCACCCTGGGCCTGTTTTACGTCCGAGCCGTGTCGTTCGGTCGGCTAGGTCCGAGGTCGTCTCGTGTGCACCGCAGCACACGGCGACCGGGGGGGGGGGGGGGGGGGCAAAGGTCAGCCGACGCCGTCGCCGTGGCGCACGTGCGGCCATGCGGGTCTCCGGGGTCGCGGTGGCCGGCCCGCGGGCGGCCTCGACGCCACCGCTGGGGTCGGCGGGTCACTGACCCCGGCGCCCCCGCCCGGCTGCGCGCGAACAACACGCGGCCTGCTGCGACGTCTCGCTGGTCGGACCCGCGACAGTGACGGCGCGGCGCGCCTCCTTTCGCGACCGCCCGGCCGGACACGAAAGGAGCGCGGCTCCATTGTCCTGGCGCGCCGGCGGGTGGACGACGGCCCGCTGACGGCGACTCGCTGACGGCGCGCTAGACGCTGATAAACGACGGCCGCGCGCCGGGTCGGGCTTGGCACGCGCGCGCCGGCGACGCTTCTGGCGCGGTGGAAGCCGACGCGCGCGGCGCCGCGGGCCGCCGGCCAGCGCCGCAGCTTATCGGGCCGGTGACAGGTGACAGGCCACATGCTTGGCACCTGTGGGCCCAAGTGTCACGCGCCCGGCCGCGGACTGCGGCCGGAAGAGATGTCGAAACCCGAGCCGGCCGGCGGCGTGCGCGCGCTCTCGAAATGGGCACTGGTGACCGGGCGTTCAATGGCGGCGGCCGGGGGCCACCGTGGCCTCCGCCGCCGCCGCCGGGGAAGTTTGCCTTGTATGTTCTGGACGCGCAGTCTGCTCTGAACCGCGTCGAACAAGCTGGCCGGGAGTACTACGGCGGCTGGCTAGCACCCGTCGGCGCCGCCTTGCAAGTCGGCTTACGTAAGGCTCTCTGGATGTCCTGTCAGCCACGTGGCGCGGCCAGGCCTCAAGTGGGGGCGCCGCCGCCAAGGTCGCGTTGTATTGGCCGCTACTTGATACCGACGGTGGCTGCGGTTCAGAGGCACACGTGTGTGTCTGGCTTGGGGGGGGGGGGATGCTGCCGTTTAGGGATCTTTGGGTCCGGGTGCTGCTATCGTTTCGCGTACCCTCCCCCCCCCCCCCCACAAGGTGCTGAGTCGTCCCAGCCCCACGCGAGGCGCTGCAGTCTGAAGCGTCCAGAGGCGGGTGGGTACTCGGCACGATTATTGGCTGGAGGAGGCCTTGTTGCCGTGGGACTGGCGGAGGCCGATTGGCTCATCTCGGCGCGTTGTCGGCCCGAGTGGCGTTACGAGTGGCGGTGGCGGCGCCAGAAATGCCACCTGGTTCAGCGGCGTCTCAGCGGCGCCTTGACGGCGGCCGGCTGGACTGCTGCGCGCGTGCAGCGCGCAGTATCGTCGCTGAAAGTCGGAAAATGTGACCGCTGACGTGATCGTCACCTGGTGCGGATGTGTGGCCGCCGATGTGATCGTCACGTGGTGCGGATGTGTGACCGCTGATGTGATCGTCACCTGGTGCGGATGTGTGACCGCTGATGTGATCTCACGTGGTGCGGATGTGCGACCGCCGATGTGATGGTCACGTGGTGTGGATGTGTGACCGCTGATGTAATCGTCACCTGGTGCGGATGTGTGACCGCTGATGTGGTCGTCACCTGGTGCTGGTTAGTGACCACTGATGCGGGTCACGCGGCAGTACTCGACTCGACTCAGGCTGCGCAACACGGGCGTCACAGTTTGCTCGTGGTGAAATCACGGCTTGGCGTTGAGTGTGAGATAGACTGAGCGGGGCGGTGACCGGCGGTCCTCCTCACCCTCCCCCCTCCATCTCCATCCAAGGCTCTTCGTCCCGGTCCAAAGCTGCCCGTTCTCACCCCAGAGCTGTTCGTCTCCGCTCCAGAGCTGTCCGCCCTGGTCCAGAGCTTTCCCCCCGGTCCAAGCTGTCCGTCCCCGCTGCAGAGCTGTCCGTTCTCACCCCAGAGCTGTCTGCCCGGGTCCAAGCTGTTCGTCCCCGCTGCAGAGCTGTCCACCCTGGTCCAAGCTGTCCGTCCCCGCTCCAGAGCTGTCCGCCCCCGCTACAGAGCTGTTTGTTCCCGCTCCAGAGCTGTCCGTTCTCACTCCAGAGCTGTCAGTCCCCGCTCCAGAGCTGTCCGCCCCAGTCCAGAGCTGTCCGCCCCCGCTCCAGAGCTGTTTGTTCCCGCTCCAGAGCTGTTTGTTCCCGCTCCAGAGCTGTCCGTTCTCACTCCAGAGCTGTCAGTCCCCGCTCCAGAGCTGTCCGCCCCAGTCCAGAGCTGTCCGCCCCCGCTCCAGAGCTGTTTGTTCCCGCTCCAGAGCTGTCCGTTCTCGCTCCAGAGCTGTCCGTCCCCGCTCCAGAGCTGTCCGCCCCAGTCCAGAGCTGTCCGTCCCCGCTCCAGAGCTGTTTGTTCCTGCTTCAGAGCTGTCCGTTCTCACTCCAGAGCTGTCCGTCCCCGCTCCAGAGCTGTTTGTGCCCGCTCCAGAGCTGTCCGTTCTCACTCCAGAGCTGTCCGTCCCTGCCTGACAGTCGACCGTCGCTGCTCCCGAGGGACTGATGCCCAGCCATTGTCATCACCGGCCACTCGTCGGCCGCTGACGTTGCTCTGTCCGGGTGACCGATGACGTTCTCCGACCATGCGGGCAGAGGGAGGGAGAGACGGATCTCCGCCGACGGCGCTGGCGGCCCGGCCCGAACCGGACGGAACCGGAGACGTGCCGGCCGGTGTGCGCGGCCGGCCGTGTGTCGCGCGCTGATGGGCACCTGTCGGACTGGCTGGGCGCTGGCTGTTACGGCGGGTTCGCTGGCCGCTGCACCTCCCGACATTGGGGAGCCCAGGTGTCCGCTGGCCGCCGGTGAACAGGTGACCTTAAAAGACACGCTACGTTACGCGCTAAGGTTTGGGGGGAATTCCATTTCTGGCAGGATAACAGTCGTAAAGTGTGTTGAGTTTCCGTCCGTGATTGTGCTGTAGAGCGCAGAACCTCTGCGCGCCTCCCCGGGAATGAGGCTACTAATTTGCCAAACAGGCTGCTGAGATCGAGCTTTGGAGCTGAAAAGAGACGGTTTAACTGTCATCATTTTTCAGATGTTGGCATTTTACGGATCAGCAAGACCCTTCCGCCAATTGGCTTGGTTGCAGGTATCAGGAAAAACTGGGGTCATGGTTGGATTACTGCTTTCACGTCAAGTTCAGGAGAACTGAAGCAAGCTCTGCACATGTTTCAAGTAGAGGCAAATGCGAGGACATGATAATAATCACCGTGAATTGCCATTTATATATTTTGTGCTGTTCAAAACTCATTAGAAACGTGAAGTTCCAATTGATTCGAAAGTCATGTCGGCAACGTCAAGGCCTAGGTAATGTCAAGGTAATGTTGCCCTTTGCTGGGATTGTGTGACTTCCGGGTAATGAAATTGAGGCCATAAAGTCCCCAAATCGCTCGTAGTCAATTTTCGCTACGTTTTGAGCCCTCGTTTTTGTGCTGATCACGTTTGGTCCTGTCTGCCGTATTTCGCGGGCACATCAGTCACATCTTTTATCAGGCGCTGAAAATTCTGACGACGCGCCGCACCATATCCGCTGGCCGATTGATGAACCCCCAGCGGCCGCCGCTGGGGGACAGGCGGAGAAGGCCGCGGCACGTGCGGCTATCTGTCGGCCGGACCGGCGACAGCGGCCGGGTCGGAGCAGCGGAGCCGTCCGGCCGCCGGTGCCGACCCGCAGCGGAACGGCCGGGCCTGGCGTGTCGCCCGCTGCCGACGGCAAGCCCCGGCACCGCCTGTGGGGCCGGCACGCCCCGCGCCTCGTGCTGTGCGCCGGCCGCCAGCGGGAGCCGGGCGGCGCCTAATTGTCGTGCGCGCGGTCCATGAAATGAACTGGCGTCGGACATGCGCCGCGCTTCCGCCAGCCCTTTGTGGGTAATGTCGCGACCCGATGCCGCCGGCGCTCCCACAGAGGCAGGTGTAGCGACGGGCCCCGTCCGCCGGCGGCCTCGGACGCCGTGCGGGGCGGTACGCCGAATAGACTTTCGCTGATGTTTGCGACGAAGCGCGCGAAAAACAAGGTGATTACAGCGCGTTGATCTGCCTGATTGACGCCGTTGGCTTGGCGGCACGTTGATCTCCCACTCGATGAGGTGTGCTGTGGCTCAGTAACAGGACGATTGCGGGCTTGTTTGCTGTGTCGCGATGAGGTGGCTGGACAAAATACCTGCCGTTGAAAGCTGAGTTCGCACGTGTGGTGCGAAAGAGAGACATGCCGCTGCCCGGCGGCCGCGTGATTGGCTTCGCTGCTGGGTCGTGCGGCGGCTCGGGACGGCAGCTGGGTCAGTGGTGGCGGCTCGGACGGCTCGCTCGCTCGCGGCGGTCACCAGTCACGCCGCCGGCCTGTGTCACGGGTGTCGCTGTGACGCAGCGCGGCTGCTCCCCGGCGGCCCGCTCCTGGGTCACGTGACCATTCTGGCGCACTCCCTCCTCGTCCGCTGCTCCCCTCGCGGCCATCGGTGGCGGCGCTGTCTGATGTCGGCATGACCCGCCGCCGACGCCCCGCTGACCGGTGCGTGACCCGTTGGCGACCCGCTGTGAGACGTGCGCGGGCGCGCGATGTGTCTGCGTTTTATATCGGCCGGAGCGGACCTGTGACTGCGTGCGACACGTGTGAGACGCTTACGGCGCATGGCGGGAGCGTTCGCTGTCGGCGCCGACGGCAACTGACCCGTGACATGTGGTACGTGCGTGTGCGTGTGTGCGCGTGTATGTGTGGATGTGGGGCGTGGCGGGACCCGGCGTTTGTCGGCGCCTGCTGGGGGGCTCCGGCCGGACCCGCGTGTATGCCTCATGCGCGGGCGGCGCGGCTCCGGCTGCGCGCGGCTGACGGCGTCGTCTCTGTCTCTGTTGCAGGTGTGCGGATGATATGAGTGTCAGATCTAGTCAGATGTACGGTGACGCGTTCGGTGTGCGACGCTATGACGAGTATAAGCCCGGGCGGAGAAACTACAGGAACGGACCTTTTTTAGAGAGGTATGTAAGCTTTTTGTTCTCTTGCATGCTTCGTCGGTTGTGCGATCGCTGCCGGGTGGTGTGGACACGATGGAGATACCTAGTTTCACCCCAGCAAACATGTTCTCCCTCGCTGGGCCAACTACTCTGAGAAGCGACATTGACGTGACACAACATGCATGGCACAAATCCATCAGGCCTGCGCGCTGCTGGCGCGGTGCAGCGGGCAGGCCTCAGGTGACGTCACAGCCGCGTTCTGATCCGGTTTTGTGCGGTTTGATCTCGTCGGGCCGGGTTGCGTTTTGCGCATTATCGTGCAACACCACCTTCGATTTTTGCGGGTCTCTCGTGACGTTGGCAACGCTTGCGTGACCCCCCAGCCTCGTGCATTCTCAATTTGTAATGTTCCCAGCGAGCGTACTCTAGCGGACGGTAGTAAAGCCGGCGCTAATTAACAAAGTGTCCCGGATCGTCGGCCGCAGGATTTGGGAAGCGCCATTGTCGGGTCCGGTCGTCGGGCGTCACGGACGCGGCCGCACCATCGAGCGGGGGTCAGGGGTCAGCAGTCACCGCGCACTGGCTGCCGCCAGCGCTGCGGGTTTGGGTCGGCACGCGCAGCCGGACGGCGCTGAGGCTCGCGCCGGATGCGGGGAGGCGGGCCGTCGTGTCGTCTGCCGACCGGCGTGCGCTGAGGCGTCGGCGCGTGCGCTATCTCCGGTCCGTGGCGGGCCGGTCCCCCGGGTGGAGCGCGCATCTCCGTCTCCTCGAAAGGGTCTCACAGCGTTGTCGCAGTGAGGCGGCGCCGATCTGGTGTCTTCCGGTCCGGCGGCTGTCCCGTCTGCTGGCTTACCGCGAACGCAGTGGCCGGTCCGCTATGAGTCTGGTCCCCGCCCATCGGTGCCCGTTGTGGTCTACCCTCGGATCTGGTCGGGGTCCAGGTTCCTCGTGGGCCTGGCCCGTTGGCTGGTCATGATCTTGGTCTCCTCCGGTGCGGCGTGTGTATGGCACCGGCCGTGCTTCATCCTGGCGGCAAGCGGGAAAACCCGCCTCCGCCCTGCCTGGAAGCTGCCTTACACCCTCCTTGTCAGAACGCTCTGCTGAGCCGCTGTAGAAACTCAGTCGTTTCACCCTCCAAGTCACGTCACTCAGCGCACGCATCCTGGGATCAGCTGTGTCTAGAGGAGGCAGGGTTAGGGCAAGTGTACGTCACCCATCAGGTGACCTTGAAAATGTGTATCATCTGGAATACCCGCTGGAATAGGGGGCTCACGTTGGTTGGGTATAGGCAATGCTTTGCTTTTGCCCGCTTTACTCGTTATTAACCGCCGGCTCTCCGTCCGAGCTTCCTTAACGCGATTTTTGAACGAGTACCAGCAACTCGGCCGCTGTGCCGAAGCTCGCGCCCCAGGGGGCCACTGGGGGCGCGTGTGATCACGGACCGTGACGTCACACGGCGATGAAGCCGGCCGGCAGGCAGCGACGAGCCTTCCAAGAGCTGTTTGTGCAACGGGAAATTCCAGCGGAGTTTTGTTCAGGCTCTCCCGAAGTTGCGAATTGTGTTTGATTGTTACACCAGCGGTTCGTGGTGACATGGAGCGCCGACCTCCCTTCCGTGTGCCATCCTCTCAGTCGCGCGCTTTCGTCCCACGTGCTTCTTCCCCGGAAAACCCTCTTTCCCTACCGCCCCCGTATTCTCGCTATCTCTCCTCACATCCTGACTTCGCCTCTCTCCTCCATACCCGTCACCCTCCTCTCCCTCTCTCTCCCCGGCTCCGTGACGTGGCGTTCGAGCATAGCCGCCCCCGGCACACACCGAGAGCGAACGGACTGCCGCGGCCGGCGCCCGCCGCTCGCCCGCCGGCCACGCTCGGGCGCGCCGGCCACCCGATCCGCCCAGCATTCGGGCGAGCTTCCAGCCGGGCCGGGCCGGGCCGGCCGCGCGCCTGTCCGGCCGGGCCGCGCGGCCGCCGCTCCGTGCCGTGCTCCGGCGGCCGTGGCGGTCGAGCGTGGGCGGCGCCGGCCGAGCGCCGCGGTCCGGCCGGCTGGCGGACACGTGCCTGCTCCCGCGCGCCCCTCTGAATGCCGCCTAATGGCCGGCGTGGGCCGGCCGCGGCGACAGAGCCGCTATAGACGGCACCAATCGATAGGATCCGGCCCGGGCCGCCGCCGCCACGCATGCGGCGTCCGCCTCCCCTCTCTCTCTCTCTCTTGTTTTCTCTGGCTCTGTGGCTCCCGCTCTCTGTGTTTCGCTCCGTGCGTCTCCTATCCCTCTCTCTGTCTTTCCTTATCCGGCCCGCAAGCCGATCCCGTCCGCGCGGCGTGTATCATTTGCTCTCGCGATGACTGAGCCTCCCTGCGCGCCAGCTTAGTTGAGTGTCTCGCGATATTGCGTGAGCCCGGGCATTGCGAGTGCTCAGCGTCATCCCCGCACGCATTTCTGGTGCACTGGGCGCGAAGATGAAGGACGCACTGCGGGCCATCTTCCGCAGTCCCCCATCCCCTCCCCCATCCGCGGGGGGGGGGGGCGGTAGTGTTTATTTGCCCGCCGGGTGACCCGGATTCGGCGGGGGCGCTGTTTATCTCGGGCGCAGAGTGCGTTGCGCCGCCTGCGAGCCGCCTATCGCCGCTGCCGGGCCGGCCGGTCCCGCGCTGCCGAGAGAGACGGCGGGAGCCGCGCTGGCCGCGTAGCTGGCCAGCCGGCCGGCCTGCGCGTGCTCAGACTCCGGGCCGAGGCGCCCGCGGTCGTGCCGCCTCCATCGCGGCCGCCGGCTGCGAGCAAAAACGACGCGACGACGTCGCAGCACGGCGACGCGGTGAGGCGCTGCGGCGCGCGCTGTACACCGCCTGTCGCGATCGGAGCTGTGCGGCCCGCATCTGCCACTGGGCCGGCCTGGCCCGGTGTGCCGCGGTGCGGCGCGGCGAGGTCGCGGCGCCGGCCGGTCTTGCTCGCCGCCGGCGTGGCGCAGCTCCAGTGCGCAGTACCGCCTGCGCTGACGTGTTCCCGGCGCGGACGCCCGGCGGCCGGCGGCTGCCGCGCGGACGGCGGGCACCGGCCGCGCCGCCGGGACGCCGGCGGCACTCCGCAGGCACGTGCGCCGCGGCGGGCACAGGCCGTCCGCGCGGACGCCGCCGCCGCCGCTGCCGGCGGCCGTCTACATGATCGGACCGGTTTTTGTGGGGACGGCTGTGGTCGGCTGGTGGCCGCCCGATCGCCGGCCTACGTCAGTGCGCCGCGGCGGCCGCTGTCGAACCGGTCTGCCTCCGGGCCGGCCGGCTCTGAAGCCGCTGCTCAGCCGGCGGCTTTGCTTGTGGGCTCGTCGAGCACAGACAAGATCTCGGCCGTGCTCGCTTGGCCGTGTCGACGGCCTGATTGGGGAGGAGCGGCGGGTAGTGGCCTGGCTGGACAGGAGACGCGCCAGCCGGCTCCGACGCCCTTCGCCGGCCGCCTGACGCCGCCGCTTTCCTGCCCCTGGGTGCCCCTCGCCCGCCCCTGGTGCCCCTCGATTGCCACTCTGCCCCTCTGCTCCCCCGGGCGCCCCTGGTGCCCCTCTGTGCCCTCCCCCCGCCCCCCCCCCGTCCACCACTGGCGCCCCTCCGTGCCCTTGGTGCCCCTCTGCGCCCCCGGGCGCCCCTCGTCCACCCCTTGTGCCCCTCGTGTGCCCCTGGGTCCCCTCGTCCGCCCCTGGCGCCCCTCGGCTGCCCCCAGCTCCCCTCTTCCGCCCCTGGCGCCCCTCGGCTGCCCCCGGGTCCCCTCGTCCGCCTGGGACGCTCCTCGTCCGGGCGTAGTTCCCCTCGCCTGCCCTTAGTTCCCCTCGTCCTCGCCTGGCGCCCCTCTGCGCCTGGGGCGCCCCTCGGTCGTCCGGCGGGGGTGAATCACGCCCCGGCCGGTGCCATGCATGCTCGTCGGCTGGCGGCCATCAATGATGGATTGCGGAGCGCGGCCGGCCGGCCGGTCACGTCCAGGCGGCACGCGACCACGGAGAGGCGCCACACCGCCGCTGCGGCTGTCGGCGCTGCGGCTGTCGGTGCTGCGGCTGTCGGCGCTGTGGCTGTCGGTGCTGCGGCTGTCGGCGCTGTGGCTGTCGGCGCTGCGGCTGTCGGCGCTGCGGCTGTCGGCGCTGCGGCTGTCGGCGCTGCGGCTGTCGGCGCTGCGGCTGCCGTGCGCTGCCCACCGGAGCGCCGCGCCGCGCCGGAGAACGACGGCCCGCTCCACCAGCTGACGGAGAGGGATGTTCGCGGCGTTGCTCGGCGGCGTCGTCGGTGGCTGTTCAGTGACAATGGCGATGCGCCGGAGGTGTTCTGGCGGGGAGCTTCAGGCGAGACAAGCGTCGTGCTCGAGGGAGACATTCTTCGGCCTCCACATGCGGCTAACAGAAATGAGAAGCCTTCCAAATGTAACTCTGGATCTCTACACACGCAGCGGTGATTTATGACGTGGGTTATGCAATCTTTGCACAACTCCTGCTGCCAAAACATTAGCGCCGTTGAACGTGTTTCCGGCAGTGTGCATGTAGCTGTGAGCGGCGACACGTGCCATTGCCATCGGCCCTGACGCTTTCATTTCACTGCATCAGTTGTCAGCTTCCCGGCAAACGTTATCGGTGAGCACAGTTATTGTAGTGTTGCTAACCCCTCGCTACCGATACCAGGTTCGCCGCGGCATTTTGCATAGCTTTAGCACGTGACTGCCCGACCCGACGTCCACGGGGTGTGCGCTGGCGAAAGGCCGCGCTGGGGTTTCGTCTTCCGTCACGGCCGCTGCCAGGAAACGGTGTCGCCACTGCCGCCTGGACTTCGTCTGCGTTTTTCTCCGGAGAAAAGTCCCTTTTTGTCGGGAGCTTGGCCTCGCTCTGCACCGACTGCTTTGTGTCGGCTCGTTTGGGAGCTGCTTGTTCCTGCGGCGACGGCGGGATTGTGTTCAAGCCCTGCTTGTCCGGGGCTGCGCTGAACTTGCTGGGTGGTGTGTCGTACGTCGGAGCGGCGCTGAGGCCTCGGACGGGAAGTGGATGGAGCGGCGACGT